GAAAAGTGATTAATGGTTAAGAATCACTTCACAGGTATACAAGTTTGAATGAGAATTCTACAATATAAATAAACATCCACCCATTATCATTTTAATATTGCAGTCATTTGTAAGGGGCACTTTTTAAAATTGTGTTGTCAGCTTTGCCATATAAAACTCAAACCACATCCAAACCCAACACATTCTGACTAAAACTTCAGGTTTGTAAAAGCTATCCAAGAGCAGGCAAGAGGCTCCAAAGACTCAACTTAGCAGAACTAACCCATTTCCTAAACTCTAAATACTTATAATTTACCATGTTATGGACAATAACGACATTCAAAAGCACAGAAAAGAACGTATGAGTATTTTCTCATCTCAAAGACCAAAAGCTGGAATAAAGTTTTTTATGCACTGATATATATGAAACATGCATTTGAAATTCATAAGAAATTTCAGATAAAACAAGAAGGAAAAGAAGAAGTTAAAGAAAGTTACCGATTGAAACTTCTGCTGAGTCTGACCCTGCAGATCATGAAGCGGCATCTGAATCTGTAAGAAGGATAAGATTGTTCAAAAATACAATACAACTGAGTCACTAAGAAGCATGCAGAGAACTTCTATGTTTCAATAATACAAACATAAAAAATTCAATCAAATTTATTTAGAATGACAATGTTCAGCAATTTTAACATCCATTTACCTCATGAAAGTTTTGAAAATTCCTACCAAGTCAACCAAGTATCATAGTTACCATGTAAAGTCACAGCATGCGCTCACATGCATATGCACATATAGATGTTGATATGTCATGAGTTACTCCTTATGGCCTCACAAAAACATTAAAAGAACCAAAAATCAGTAAAATTTATACCTGTCCCAGTCCTTGCATTGTAGATTGCCTGAACTGTTGTTGGGCAAGGAGTTGTTGTTGATGCTGAGGCAATTGCATCATTTTTTGCCTTTGTTGCTGCTGCTGCTGTTGCTGGGTTTGTTGCTGAGGTGATGGTGTGTTCATCATATTTGTTCCAGACCTAGGTGAGTTAGCATATGGAAGTGGAGAAGTTGTGGTGTTATCAAAGGAGGTAGCACTAGTAGCAGCAGAAGGAGATGCAGCTGATCTACCAATAAGTTGCGCTCCAGTAGCCTGACATAAGAAGAATAAAGCTATTGCAACACTATGAACTTTGAACTTCAGAAAACAAGACATGTAGCTGGGAAAGATACACGATAGTTGTCATAGGATGACTATGAAAAATCAAGTCACAACAACAGGCAATTTTCAAAACTGGTGTAATCAAAGGCAGGCTGCATGCTTGCTTGCCTACAATCCAAGTGAAGTAATAGACAATAAGATGTTTGCTTTTAGGGGGTGCTTGGTTGGATGGAAAAGTGGAAGGACAGATAGGGATGGGTGTGAAGAAATGAATATTAGGTGTGCTTGGTAGGAGAGTAAAGTGAGAAGAAAGAAAATAGGAAGGATGATCATTTTCCACACTTATTCACAAAAACAAATCATTCCAAATTGAAAAAATAGAAGGAGAGAAAATGGGAGACATGTGAGTCAAGTGTGCATGTTTATAAGATTATCCATCATTTTTTAGATTTTATCCTTTTATTTATTCTTTTTTTTTTTGCTAAAAAGACTTTATCCTTTTATCTCAACTTATAATTCGTAAAATGGTAAAATAATATAATTTTCATTGTCTTTCCTCGTATTTTTCAATCCTACAAAGAAAGGGATGAAAAGAAAATTACTTTTCCTTCTGTTTTTCCATCTTTCTTACCAAGCATACTATGGAATGAAAAAATATATATTTCCTATCTTTTCACTTTTCTACCTCCCCACATTCCTATCTTTCCATTTTCTTTCCACTCTACCAGGCAATGCCCCAGTGCCTATCAAGTGAAACTACGGGCAAAACACTGTTAAAGCAAGCATTCAAACAAATTAAGAGTTTCTTATATTAAAATTTAGTTAGATGTCTCCAAAAAGAAAACCATTTACTCAGATATGCATATGGAAATACCAGTCCAATTATAATGATTAAAATAGAATAAGTCTGTCAGTTTGTCCCATGGGATGGCATATAAAGGAGAAGAAAAAAAAGCATTTATTAAGTACAAGAATTCCTAAATAAGAACTTGAGGTAGGCATTGCAGACTGCATGTCCTAATTTGGCCCTCTTGCAAAAGGCCAATGCCCTATAATGGTTAAATTTTATACATAAATGAGAACTTTATTTTACCTCATCCTAGCACTACTAGACTTCAGAAGCACCATTTTAAGAGAAAGATGAGGGGAAATTTTGGTGCCCACAATCATCCAAAGTGACAAAGAACAGCCCAGAATTTGTTCAATGAGAGTCCAAAATTGAGCTCATACAGAGTTAGACATGGGTGTTGCTCTTTGAAAACCAGATATTGGAATGTGGTGGCAATAATCACAGGAAGAATTTGTGTAGATTTAGGAAAAGACTGATTAAAGGTAAATCAATGATCTAACCTGTAACAAAGACCCTTGACTGCCAGTGTTGTTCGACGTAATAGGAGTGTTCTTCATGTACATACCCGTAAGAGAGAGTTTGAAAATATGATACTCAACAGCATTTGAAACATTCTGGTATTGAAATAGAAAAAAACTCATGGTTGTAGAAAAATTACCAGATGGGTCAGCAAAAGAATGCATCCCATCAGCTGCAGGCATAATGTCAGCCAGATGCAGTGGAAGCGAAGGTGTAATCTGCTTATGATCTACAGGTAAACGCAGTCCTGCATACATATACCAATGAATAATTGGCTGATAACCATGTTAAGTTCAAAGTACTAGGTCTTGCTTGAAACATAAAATAGTCCAGCCAAATCATAGAAACCAACGCTAAATACATTCATCTAAAATTCTATTGTACTTCAATTAACCATAGAAATCAATGCTGAAAACATTCGTCTAAAATCCCATTAAACTTCAATAACTTCAACTACTGTCTAAATCAGCCAGATCCCTCTTATCTATGACCAAAGGGCGTTCAAATAAAATGCTAAAAGGAAAACTATAATAGATTGTATAAAATTTCAACCTATTTTCAGAGAGAGAAAGAATAAATTGAACCAAAAACCATTGCATAAGAGCCAGCATAGCATATATTAACATTCCTGTGATTATGATCAGCTCAATCAGATTTTTACTCCCAGGAAGCAATAAAGGATATAGATTGGTTCATCAAACAATAAAGAACACCTTTAACAGACTATAGTTGCAACAACTAAAAAGATGTCTTGTTACATTTCATGGGTTTAAACATAGTTACTACATCAAAAGCTAAAGATTATCACCTTCACCAAAATTCACAGCAGCACGGAGTAAGTTCTCTTGTTCTTGAATTTTTGCAACCTGCCCTTGTCGAGAGTTGGAAGAATCGCTGGCCCTTGACGAGCCAAAACAATAAGCTTTACGGGTATCAGCCAATACTTTCTCAGCACTTTCACAGGCAGCTCCAATCATATCAATTCTAGTCTGTAGAACTAGAAAAATCACATGCCTGCAAATAACTGAATTTAATTAGAAAACAAAGATCAACTAGACGGTCTGTATTTCGCTAGATCACCTTTAAGTCTTTAACTTTTTAATTTGTGTAGTTATAGGCAGATTTTGCATTCCTAGAAGCAACTGCCCTTGCTTCAAATTATCCTCCATTTCCATCTCCGGCAATAGCTTCGACGATAACATAACCAGTAAAACTGCAGTCAAAGAACTGGGTTTACTTACTTAGTACTTATTATCAATTAGATAAGATATTATTGCCAATTCAAATTAACTCAATCAACATTTAAAGATAAAAATGTTACTAGTAAAATTGAAGTGAAAAGGAAATAAATAAGCGTACTGGGAGCATTGTCAGCATTAACATTTTTGGGATGAACAAAGAAAGCCATGGAAACCTTTTTGATTTCATCCACAATGTTGAAAAGCTCAAGATTTACCATTGAATATTGCCCCAAAATGTCCTGCCTGATTTACAAACAAACAAAAAAGAAAAAGGAAAACCATAAATCTATATATGAAGATTTTAAGTTAGAAAAGAATGGGAAAAGAAGAGAGAGAGAGAGAGAGAGAGGACCATTTAGGGGTGGTGTTGGTGCGAGAATAGGCATCGAAGTCTTCGAGGAGCGAGTGATGGCTTTGAAAAGGGAGATGGCTCTGGTCTTTAGAGATTCCAAATGAGTTGTTGTTGCACCGCCTGGTTCAGCCTCTCCGCCCCTACCACTAGCTGATTCCGTTGTTGTGGCGGCCGCTGTTGCTGCTGATGCTGCAATGGGTCCTGCATCATTCCCTCCATTTTTGTTGCTGCTCTTTTGGCCTTCTCCAAGTTTACAAACACAGATAGAAACACATACTTTTCTTTATGTTTACCAGCACACCACTTGTTAAAATCTACTGAAAATAGCAGACCGCCATGATTCCATGAACAGATCTAGATGGGAGTGCTCATAATTTGGTTTTAACAGAATTAATCCATTGAATTAATTTAATTGGGTTAATATGTCAATGAAAAAAATTAATTTTGATTAATTATTTAAAATAATTTTACAGAAATTTTAATATTTTATTCAGAAAAAAAATTTATATATAAAATTTTATTTAAAATTATTAAATTTTTTAATTTATATTTTAATATTTTTTTAATTTTATTTTTATATATAATTAACAATCTAATTTAATTTAATTTAATTTAATTTATTATGCAATTAATAAAAAATTAATTAAACGGGTAGAATTAATTTTGATTAATTAATTTTTAAAATAAAATAACTTAATTTAATTAATAAAAATAAATTATTTTATTTTATTTTTGATAATTTAATTCGAAATTAACCCACAACGCTATTAAATCTAAATCACTGAGGGCATGCATTTGGGCTTAAGCCAACCCAAATCAGACTACAGCCCAAGCCCAATCTCTCTTTGCCTTTTATTTCTTCCACCACCTTCTCCACCCTCCTCTATAAATAGAGCAAGTAATTCCTCTCTTACTCATTATCCATCAGTGGACTTAGCCATCTGTGTCTATTCTCCACCAAAAATATTCCCTTCGGCCTTAATCATGGCTCGTTCCCTTTCCCATACCGTAATCAAGCTCAGCCCGATCACCAAACCGCGCCCTTCCTCCTCTCGGCTCCTTTCCCTCCGAACCCAATCAAACCAACCCAACCATTCCGACGTCTCCGATCTTTCCCCCGACTCCTCTTCCTCCTCCGATCCTCTCCTGCGAAAACTTGAAGACGCCATCCACCGGATCATTGTACGCCGTTCTGCACCTGATTGGCTCCCTTTCCTCCCCGGATCCTCTTACTGGGTCCCACCTTCCACTGCCCAATCGTACGGCCTTGCTCAGCTCGTTGAGAAATTGGCTAATCCATTGACCCCGGAGGAGTCCATGTCCACCACCACCGTCCGAGGTTGGCCCTCCTCTGACTATTTCATCAAAGGTAATTTCAATTTTAATCCATTTCTCCCTTTCAATTTTGTGGTGGATTTGATTTTTAATTTTGGGCAAAAAAACCCTAACATCAGAATTGAAATTTGAATTACTAAAAAATTATCCTCTTTAGTAATGGGCATTGGGCATATCTTGATTAGATTTCGCCATTGTTTTAGGCTTAGTACGGCATTGTGCTTGCAATTGAGAATTAGTAATTGAAAAGTTGCGATTGAAGAGTAAACCCAACAGTAGGTAAGATAAGAACATGCTTTTGTCACTGGAATGAAGTAACAGCTAACTTTTTTACTTCTGAATGTATCATTGTCAACACTTCAATCCTACATCAAGATATTTTGAAGATCTATTATGGTTTATATGTACAGATTTGAACCCTTACTTGTGAGGTACCTTTTGTGAAACAAAATCAGAAGAAAACAATACCTTGGTTGTGCGTTTCCACATGGGGACAAAGGTTTCGCAATGAGACTATGCCTGGGAACTGCATAAGATCTTTTTTTTTTCCCTAAATATGAGTGGCAGAATATAATGTTTCTTTTCGACATCACAGGTGGATCCCCGCATCCGATGGAAGTAGACATGACTTCAAATACTTCATCGAAATCCGAGGATGAGGAAGGATGAAGCCATGCTAATTGCTAATAATAGCATCTGGGGTGAGCTATAATTTGCATCTGGCATTAAAATTTTGCATATCTACTAGAAGAGATGTGTTCTTACTGCTTTTATGAAGGCGTTTTTACTGCTTTTATGAAGTTGTTCATTGATTATCTATCATGGGCAATGAGATTTGCAGGCTCATCTAGAATTCTGAAGTTGCAGGAGGAACGATAAGAAGTAGATTCATTGACAAGGAGACCCTTCAGTCAGATTGGAGGAGCTGTACGGATGCAACGCAGCAAGTGGAGCAGATATAAATTCTTTTTAAATTTTCACAGCTGAAAATGATTCTGTGTCTTATGTATTTTAAAGAGGTACTAGTTCTACTTATTTAGATTATATTTACACTATCCATCCCACGCCAAGTGTGCTGTAACTTATCTGGTTTAGCGTTATGTTTCAGCTTTTCCCTGTGTAAATACTTGTGAATAGGGATTATAAAATTCTACGCATAATTTCACTTCACCTGCTTCAATTGCTTGCAATTTTATGATTTATCAATTATCAAAGTAAGTCATAGTTGTAATCTAAGTTTATTGGAAAGAATGATGCATCATTCTTCCATCTGCCATCAGGGGGACCACTACATGTGTTTCCCCAAGTCATAAAAGTTGGTTACTAGGCGATGGCGTTTGGAGGGATGATTGCATCGGAAAGAAGATTTCGCGTAGGTAACTCACCCAATTAGGATGACAAAATGGGGTTACATTGAAAAGGAAGTGTGCCCTTTGATTCTGTTAAGACTCCTTTTTTTAAACTTTTTTAATTCTTATCCATCCCATCCAGAGGAAAACACCTTCCAGCTGCAGCCTTTGTCCTCTTATTACAATCATTTATCCCAAACTTGTACAATTTAGAAAACATATTGGGAGGGTTTTTTAGTTTATATTTGATGAATTTTTGATGTATGAACTTTCGTACTATCATTGAATCAAATGATGTTATCTTAATAATGAATAAATATTAATTTTAAAATAAATATATAAAAATTTAATATTTTTTAAAATTTATTAATTAATAAGATAATATTATGTAATTTATACCATTAATAAAATGGTATCATTCTATTCATTAACAATATACAAAATTTGTATAAAATTTGTATATCAATAATATATTAAATATATGGTTTTTTAAGTTCCTAATTTACTTTATCTTATCATTCATTTCACTTAGATATGATAATCTAAAATACGAGATAATGATAAAAATAATACAAAAATAAAATTCAAAGATGACATAAGCTAAATTTATAATAATAATTATATATAAATTTAATAAAATATAAAATATATATTTTATGTTTTCAAATTCAATAATTAATTTTCACATAAAATAAATATTATGAATTTTAATATTTTACGACGCAAATATTTATTTCATTAATTACAAAAACTTACCATTGGCTTTGGGGGAGAGGATACTCAAATAATAATTTATTTTTAAAAAAACATAGAATCCAGATATCCAAACCAACCAGTTTGGGATTTATTCAAGTTGAATTCTTCTCCACTCCACTTCGCTTTATATAATGGGAAGGTTAAGTTGGGGTAGACTGGACTCTAATCTGCTCTCTTACTGCATGAATCCATAATTTACCCAATATATCTTTCATTAAATAAACGCTTATTATCATTAATATAATATGGTACTTGTTTTTGTGGCACCCATTTTACGAATGGAAGAACAAATTTGGAAGATTGCACGTTTCCATGTTAAAATAAATTTTGGTAACTTAGTAAATAATTTAATGATACAATTAATTTAACTAGAAATCCAAATTTATAGAAATAAAAAATTGTACTATCAACCTTGCTTCTAATTTCACTACTATGAAAACTAAAAAAAAGAAATTAATTCATTTATATCCTAGTAAAACATTAACTTTTTAATAATCTCGTATCTTGGTAATTCGCTCTCCAGCATAAAAAATCATAATTAAAAAAGCAACATCAGAAACATGTAGCAGCCTCATTTCGGTAATATTTTTAATTTAGCCATTTTCTGTCTATCGCAAACCAAAAAAACATATTAATTTTGCATATTTCTCTTATAATCTGTACAAAGAAAAAAAAGAAAATTGTAGAGCATAAAAAAATTATTTCTCAGTGAAACCAACGTCTAATGCACAAACACTGACAACACACTGATTAAGGTATTCAGAGGAGGAACAACTTCCCACGGCCTTCCAGGTTTTGATGGAACGCCTAATGCACACAGGTCAGTCAATGGTAGCGACATATTAAAGTCGTATGTCAAGAACGCCACCAGCCATATCATGAAGCAAAACCCTGAAGCAAATAGATGGCTAATTCATGAGACTTGACTCCATTGACAAGAACTATATTATTATGTAAAATGCATGTGAATGGTTCATTCCATAGGTAGAAAACGAGAAGGGGGACCGAGCACTATCCATCGCAGAAATCGCATGAAGTCTCAGCTGTCCCAAATGATACAAAGGCACGGAGCCTATGTGCAAATAATGCACACATTAATGGGGAGCGAAACCTTTTGTGTGCTGTGCACCGTTGGCCGACCCCCTCAAAACAAACTTTAACCTCCACAAAAGGAGAGCGACACATTAATGATGCATTGTGAGAAAGGCGAGTGAACAAGAATAATAGTAGCGAAAATCAATTAGTACAATGTTAAAATTGCTCACCAGGAAAATAAATGAAATGCATAGCTACCAAATTAGTAAAGACCCAACATTCTTAGCTCTGTCACATGGCTGGGGTCTAGTTCCGGGATATTCTGATTTTCTTCTCGGTCTTCAACTACGTATTCCTGACATCATGATCTTCCATCAGGACAAATGATATGCTAAATATTTTTTGCTTTGACATGAATAAACAAAGCCAGAGGATTCATAAAGAACTGCCCAAGCCCCAATTTTTGTTAAAGGAGGGATGGCTGGACGTTAGATTACAATCTTGAGGAGACCAGATCGAAAAAAGCATGATTAGCTCTGCATACAAGCAATGAAATGAAGCACAAAGAAGTTCATTATAAAATAAGTTGATGAATGCAACATTGAATAAAAGTCTTCCACCATTGTAATTTTGAAGTATATCAAAGGTGTAAACCTGTAAACAAATCAAAACAAAATACCAAAATCAAGGTTTTCTCCTTTAATTCTTATGGCCTACCTTTGTTAATTCTTGTTTCTCAAGAATGTGATAGTGCCGTTCATTGATCCTCTGTCCACATATAATAGCAATGAAGAAACCATAGAGCAAACCCACCAAAACAATTGCTAAAACTGCAGATCAAAACAAAATACTATATAATATTAAACCTTTATTTTGATAGTATCACAAGAAGATGGTAAACTCTGCACGCTGACCAGTTATGCAATCTTCTAGTATGTCATATGGAGCAGAATGGCCACTGATTGAACTAATATAGGATATCGGCATAATGATGCTACACATGCGACTACCCACAAGTAAAAATAGAGATGTATGGATCTAAACAACCCATATTAGTCACTTTGGTTTGGTTATTTGGATTGCATGAACCCAAGTTCAGCTCATGATTTAGAATAGACCACACTGTTTTTCTTTCTTCTTTGCCTTCTAGCTTAATCCATAAAGCATTTCCTCACACCTTAAAGTGGATACTTCTGCATAATATATCACTTGTCACTTTACCAATACATACTTCAACTTTTCTATAAACCACCAAGTTCTTTCAAGCAACAAAATAACATTTATACCTACGATTTCAGTAAAAAATTATGTCAGAGAGTGCAATCAGTTATCCCAAAGTTTCATAGTTAAAAAGTTACATGCTCCACTATTGCTTTCTCCCAGTTTCAGCTCAAAATGACATATTGTTTTTATCCTTTCCAGTTCTTGGAGGCAACCATAAAATTTAACAATAAGCCTACCTGACGGTAATGTGCTTTCTTAATGCTTAAATTAAAGTTAAGTGCAATATTTTCCAAGTTATAATTCCAATTGTTCTTGCAGTAAAAGTAACCTTAATAGTTGATTAAAGTTATAATGGAAGTGTGAAACCAAAAACTTGCTTTTCCTGTTGAGATTTACAGCAATGTATTTTGTCTGGAAATTCAAATTGTGAAGTATTTCTACTCCAGACACTTATTTACAACTGGTTTAATAAATTTTATATAACTGTAATTCTTAATTAATTTGAAAATGGAGTAAAGTAAGCTTAATTTGTCATTTATTTGAACCCAAAATTGGAGGTAACAGAAATATAGGAGAGAAATGAAGTTTCAAAGCATCATAATCCCTAAAAAGATGTAAAACCACCATGCTGCAAAATCACATATGCAATTGCATAACGATACACCACGCCCGCGGGGGGGGGGGGGGGGTGGTGATGGGATGATGCATATATAAACACTGCAGGAAATTCAAAGGTTATGCAAATGTGCATTTTAAGCAGTTTTCATAAGTTCAAAAAGGATTAAAACAGAGGGGAATTAAGCACAAAGCTTGTATGTTCATATGTGTGTGCCTTAGTGTCTTTATCATAACCACAGAGAGAGAGCAGTACCTGCCATAGTATAGAACACATAAGGATGTTCATCATAACCAAACATTTCTCTTAGTTCCTCTCCATAAAACTTGTAGACCAGCACCCCTAAGAATGCCACAATCTGTTCAAAGCAAGGTTTCAGTTTACAGGATATGTCTATTGTAACACAGAAGGATCTTGAACATTGATCCAATTAATGCATATTGATTCAGTAGATGGATGCAAGTAAAACATCTTGGATGTAAAATGTACACGTCAAGAGCAGTGAATGGATTTTCAACAAGTTAAGGATTCTGCCTGAATTTGCATGGCACAAACAGTTATTATGTTTACAAAAAAGATGTTGACTCAATGAACTCTTCATTTTCCAAACCAGTGTCAAATGAATGTTGGATTGGACACTTCAAAAATACACAAGGGTGGGAAGACTTTTAAGAACAATTAACATACTGGAAAAGGACAAATACCCACATCTTACACTTGAACCTAAGACTGAGCAACAAAGAAAAGAACAAAAGACTTGAGAAGATAACTGTAGGATGCACACTGGAAGAATGATGGGAAAACATAGCAGCATGTCTAGAAGCAATGTTGTTTGCAGAGGTTTGACATCAAAGTAAAATGGTTAGGAGGATCAGAATGAATAAATTATGCAAATACTATAGACAATACAATGGATGCTTTCCCAGTCCAAGGTCTTCAGTTCAGATTAGCACTATTGCTCTATGTGTTTGAAGGTTTAAGGGATAATCTGGAGTTTAACAATCTCATGAAGAAAAGGAGAAAGGCTAGACTTGAAGGCTTAAGGTGCTCCAGGAAACAAGACACATGGTAGCAGTATCCAAGGTGCAGGCAAATAAAATAAGAACAAGAGGAGAATAGGAGATAAAAGAGCCCTAGGCAATCACATTCCCTAAGCAAATAAACTTGGAAGATGGAAGAAATCACACCCTAATGATGCCACGTTGTTTAAAAGCTTTTATTATTATTCTTTGCTTTCATCTGGCAGGTTTAAAATAAGCACATATTATGCATAAAAGTTTTGCATAGGAATGAACCTGCATTCAACACACACACACACGCATCTAAATTCCCCTAATTCTTATGGGACTCAACCTGCAGGTTATAACAGTTAAGAATTTATCAACATTACAACCATAAACCAATTAAATTAACATGTAACAACTAAAAAACCTAATTCCACTCACTCTAGAATGCAGAGGTTGACCAAACTGCAGAGTTGCAGTAAATCTAGAATCAACCTAACTATCCTTGAATCAAGAAAATTGAGGAAAATCTAAACAAACTAAACAAGTAGCATACTTACTTAATCAAACATGTTTCAGACTCACAGTTCAGAAAATAAGGACCAAACAAGTTTTGGCTGACAATTATCCCAGAATTTGTTCTTTAGCATTTGATTTTCTTAAACTTCTGGAAGTAGCAGATAAGTAGCTCAAAAAACTTCAATTGAATCAACAATTAGAGGAAAGTACCAGACAAATTAAATGGATTAGTATAGTCAATCATCATACCAGCTGAACAATTACAAAGATGAATACATGGTCCCTTACAACAAGGAACTGAAATTTTAATCTCAACCACCAGCGATCAGGTGGGACATTTGCACGTAAGATGAACAATGCCCTGCACTCTGTACAGTGAGCAAATGCAAAGCCCTCCTAGAAAAACAAAACAAATACAAAACAAATAGTATTAATTATCAAAATCAAATAGAAAATTTACAACATAAAGATAGAAAAATCGTACATTTATTTTAGCTACAAGTGGAAAAGTAGATGAATTCATAGGCATTCAATATTTATATAAGTTCATTATTCTAAGGAGTATATAGACAACCTGTGCAGGTATCAGTTGGAAACTCAAATTCTATTCAACAAGAGCACTTGATATCCAAGTATGGCTTCATACAATATGATATTGTGTCATAAAAAATAATATTTATACTACATATTGTAATTCTAATATGTGATGCATTATGTTATTCCATGAATTTAGCTTGTGAAATTAAACAAGTCAAATGTGAGATTCAAACTGTGAGCATGCCAAGCTTCCCTTAATTGAGCATTTCAAACATGAATATTCCACAAGCGGCTCAAGTAAATTCCAACACTAATTTTCTAGTAAAGTACAAGAGAAGACAGCAAAGAAACAAGCATCAACCTTAGTTGACCTCCAGTTATCAAGACAGGATCTATGAACATACTTCTGAGTGCCCTTGCAGTGGCACGGTGCAATTAAGTCATCCCCTGCAAAATAAATAACCATAAATAGATCAGTTTTATAGTTTGTGCTCTGCAGTTTTCACAAATCATCTTCAGTTTTCTCAGGAAAATGAAAATCCACCATTCCAAAAAGGTTATAGCAACTTATCAAATAGAAAATAAATTTAAGTGGTTGGCACCTTCGATTTCAAGGCATATACGGCATTGTGGGTGATCTGCATTCACCAGATGGCTAGTTTCATCAACATTAATATCTTCCAAATCATCACTAGTAACAACACAATCCCCTCCAATGACTGTAATTTCAAATGAAGATGAACATTCTTCAGATCTTTGTGAAATATCAGACTGGCATAAGATGGGTTCACTCTCAGAAATATCTTCCTTTCGACTATCATTTGATACTAATTGCATCTCGAACAATACTGAATCTCTACTAAAATATTAAGATCATTGCCAGAGCAATGGTTCCTACTTAACATTTCTGTAAAAGGTGAGTAACCTGAAAAATATGTAAAATCAAAGATAACTCCAATCCATAAACACAACTTGCATGAAAAATCAAAGTGTACTAATACACGTGAATGCAGATGACAGCATCAAATATCACGCAATCAGCATTCCATATTGCTATCAAAACTTTTATAATATTCATAAACTAATTTAACTAGGAACTAAAAAAACAATAAGCTATTTCAAAACAAGATATATTTATACACACACACACACACACACACACACACACATATATATATATATATATATATATAAATTAGCCACATATTTTTTATGTGGACACCAATAAGAAGTTCCATATCAGCAAACACCAATCAAATAAAGAAAAGCAAAGATTCTAAATGTTCTCTATCTTCACTAGTGAATCTATTGATTCTTTTAATTCTTCTTCCTACCAATCACTCGAGAAAGAATCTTTACATCAATAAATAAATGAAAACGGGAGAATATATCAAACCAAAAACCTTATAAAGCATAAAAACAAAAACTTACTGAGTTCAATTATGAAAAGGAAACAACTTTCCTAAAAATAACAGAAATCAGGAAAGCCCCAAGTTGTTAATTCATGAGAATATCACAAACTTTGATGCTTTTCCAATATATGAGAAGAAACAAAAAGGAAAATTAATGAATTCTGGGAACTCCATTGTGCGGGGAAAGAAAATTGAAGGGCAGACCTCAGACCTGACATTCAGCAAATGTTTTGAGGATCTTCATCATTGATATTCATATGCATTTGGGTAATTAATTTCAGCCAAAGTCAATCAAATTTTAGAAATGAGAAGAAAATAGAGACAGAAGAAAGGACGGACAAGAACGTTGGAGGAACAGACCAAAATTCATCGATAAGAAAGAGAAGAGTAAAAAAAAAAAAAACTTAATATTAAAAAAAAACTATTTTTTATTGTAATTAATTATAGTAAGACTCAACATTGATATAGTTACTGTGTAGTTATGAAAGTAAGAGAACAAACGACTCTTTGTCGTCCACGTTATCCATACAAATCATTTTGTTGCGTGCAGTGGTAGAGCCTTCTTTTTCGCAGTTGGGCTAAAACCTTGAAATACCCTTACATATAAACTCAATTCAACATTTTTCAATTCAATCAATTTAAAAGCTTTAAATTCAAAAAGCCTAACAAGAAGCATGCGGGATCCACATATTTTATATTACTTCCAACCTCCATTTACATAATTTTTAATTTCTTTTTTTCTTATTATTTATTGTTATTTATTTATTTTTCTTTGATCAATGTTTATAAAAAGCTTTTAATGTTTTTATTACTTGTGTAATAAAGTAAATTATTTAAAAAATAATTCATATAAAGTTATCATTTTTATTAGTAATTTTTAATTATGTATTAACTTCAAAAATATTAAATATACAATAAATTTTATTATATAAAATTTTTAATTTAATATATATAAATAATTTTAATCATTTTTAATCACTTATTCACTGCTCAAATATATATTATAAACTTTATTATATATAAATTTTAATCTAATATTAATAATGATCATATTTTATTATATTTCATCTCAATATTAAACGTATGTTTTTTTTATTAATTTTAATTTTACCACTATGCTATCCAATCTCACATTATAATAATTAATTTATTATTATAATAATAAATGTTACTATTATTTTTTTTTTAATCCTACCAAAATCAATCCCGTTGTTTCGAAGGATTGTTACTTTTGACTATTTCTTTGTGGGCTTTGTGTCACTGTTCTTCGAAAGAGTTCATAATGGCAAAAGGATTACAGGAATTATGAAGAAAGCTTTCTTTATCCGAAGATGAACAAGCGATGGTTACAGTGGAAAAGGACTTAGGTGGAACGGGGAAGAATTGTTCCTTTTCCAGTTTCCGAATCCAATGGCAAAGAATGGAGTTTTGGTCAGCCAACCAAAACTCCTTTCAACAAGGCGATGTTTGTCTTCGAAGAGTTTGATGGTTTATCCTCATTGACAACTATGCGTATCGGTTGGTTTTGGACTCAAATCCATGGTCTTCCATTAGGCTTGATGAATGAGAAAGTTGGTACTGTTTCGGAAAATCTATTGGAGAAATAGAAGAGGTGGACATGTGTGTGGTACAAACTGCATGTGGCCTCTTGCTAAGAGTCAAAGTAAACCTAAATGTTGATAAATCATTGAAGAGGCGATGGCAAAAGCAAGATTGTCATGTTTAAGAATGAAAGGTCGCTTGACTTTTGTTTTGCGTGTGGAAAGTTAGATCATCTGGAGAGTAACTGTGAAAGTTGCAATTAGCTTAAGAAGGAAGGCCAGTTGTTTCTCATCAAATGCATTCTCGTCAGGTAGAGGTAGATAGTGATATTCATTCAATTAATTTCAAAATAAATTATTTAAGATTAAATTAATCAAATTATATTTTTTCATTTTGTTAACCGAATCCAATTTATTAATTTTACAAATTAACCAACTGAATTAAATTTTACATCATATAATATGAATTTTTTTTTTTTTTACTTTTCATGTAACCGACTACAAAATTATTACTGTTATATATAAAATCTATTCACACAACTAGTATACAATCGATTCAAAACTTAATCTTACAATTTGCTCTTTCAGTCCGAAACAAAAGGATAAATGTTTAGTATTATGAGCCATTTGAAGTTTTGGCATTAAAAAATTTAAACCATGAGCTGCCCATAACCAAAACAAAAACCATCCTAATATCCTCAGATTGATTAAAACCCATGAACCACCCATAAATCTAGTCACGAAGTTTAAAATGTTCACTATTAATAAATACAAAAAATAATTTTTCATTAAAAATAATCTTAAAACTAATTAAATCTAAAAACATAATTCAAGAGTAAAGCTTTGCTCATTTAGATCCAATACAAACAAATGCATTTGTAGCATCTTAAAAAATATGAAAATACCCGCCCCCTCTCCCAAGAAGAAAAAAGAAATTATAATTGATATATCAAAAAATACATCTCAAAAAAATAACATGCTTATAAACGCCACATATATCTACATACCTATTCTAATTCTACGGATGCTACTTGATATAATCTGAGCTTAAGATACGCTTGATGATCCAATAAGGTCGCCAGCCAAGATGAATGCATGAATGAATAAAGGTGATTCAAGTTCTTATTTAGTATCTGTAAGATGAACCAGATGGTGGCGGTGCCGGTGGCAGCCGAGTTGGTGTCCTGCGGCTGCTAGAGCTTGAACCTGAACTTACATCACCATTCTGTGATGGGTCACTATATCTTCTGCCATGACCATTGGACCCATATCTAGCTGAATCAACAGGTCCATTTGCAGCAGCATCAAATGCAGACCTCCAGTCATCGCCTGATGAGGATCTACTTGCCCGTGGGCTGCTCTCTGTATCTCAAGAAAAAGGGAGAAAAAACCATAGTTGTTCATGTATAACTAGTCAAATAAAATCACTACAATACAAAACAAGCATACTACAGGTAAAATATAAATCAACATGCATGCCGTCCTGGATTATTTGAAGGTTTTGCATCAATTTGACCAAATAAATAAATAAGGGGTTTGCACCAAGCACATAGTGTTAGTATCTCAAAAGACAGTAAATGTGCATGCAACCATCTTTGCAAATAAAGCGCAACATTTGCTTACACAAACAGAATTACAAAAAGGTACCTGCTACACTACCATTGGACCAGCTGGAGGCAGCAGCTGCTCGATTGTCATGGATGCTAAGTTGCCTTGTAAGTTTTGAAAGGAGAGAGGATTGTTTCTGGTAACGTTCCCTTCTGCGCTTTACATTTTGGTCCTCCAGGAGCAGTTCCTCAATCCTGGCATTGGTTATGGCACTAACCACCAAAAGCATAAGAGTAAAGTTATTCTCCAAAGAACTTAAATAACAATAAAGCATAAAAATATATCCCCAGAAAGAATTTAAAAAAAAAAAAATGAAAAATGAAAGAATGGCTTTCAAAAATTATGCATGGATGTCAATAGCATGTCTAAAAGCAGCATATCTTTGACCCAACTGCCAAATGGAATTCCTCCCACATTAACATAAAGTGGTAGGTTTATATCAACAATTGCAACCCTCATTACCGATTTATTCATGACTGCATGAGCACTCGTCCTACTAAGAAACAAATATCAAAAAATTGGCGGGAATAGCATATGTAGGACAGCTAAAAAAAAGTACACCAAATTACAAAAAAATAGTAGGAATGGTAGGAAGACAAGAAAATTACGGGTATTGAGGTTAATATTTTAGTCTACTTAAGGGCAAAAGGGTAAGATGATATGAGATCAATTAGAATTTTTTATGAGGTTGATTATATCATTTTTGTCACATAGAGCGTTAATTGGATGAAGTTAAGGATCTGTGGTTCGAAGGTTGTTTTAGCACTGCAAAAAATACAGAGCAGAACATTTGGAGGTTTTAATGTTGAGTTTGATGGTGAATCGATGTGAGTTAGGCATAGGTGTAGGACAGATTCAAGATTGCTTCAGCTTGAAAGGATGCTGGGAAGTGGAAAGTAAACAAAAAAAAAAAAGAGATGCTGGATTCATAAGGTGGTCTTCACCTTGCAAGGGCTTCAACAATTGGGTCAACATTGCTTCACACAATCCCAACTGAAGCAGAAGACCTACTGAAATATTCATTAACTTGTTCTCTATTGATAGAAACAAGTTACATATGAAGTTACAGAGTTCAAAATTTCAATTTACAGAGTTAAATTTAGGGTAAAGAAGACTTGTGATCCAAACTGAAGCTACCAAGAATTTTCCAGATCAAGATTTCAATTTCCAAATGGGCAGCTACCAAGAATTTTCCAGAATTCACCATAAATATGAACTCTAAACCTAGATAAGACCCTTTCTAGATCAATTTTTCAATTTCCAGCAACTCCTGGAATCATCATAATACCTACAATTGAAAACTGTGGGAAAACAGAGTAAAATAAAACCACAGCCTTCTGTTCCATGCCATCCAAATATAAAGCATGAGAATAACATCTATAGTAGCTTAAATAAAGCCCTAAACCAGTCCAACTGAATAATCAGATACCCGGATACATACTATTGGCTTGTCTTGACCAGAAAGTCATTCGCATCAATTATGAGTATCAGTTTGGCAACACTTGCAGTGCATTTGGTAGGGAGGAACAGTGGAAGAAAAATTTTTTGTTCTATGGTTAGGCTATTCCATACCATCTCCTTAGATACATCCTAGTGTAGCCATTGAATAAGAGTTGAGACACTTTTCCTTCCACCTTTCTTTCCTTCCCACCAAAGCCACCCTTACTGCAGTTGCTCTGACACACTTCATTATCAAATAGCTCTTTGCAGTTGCACATGAAATTATTACCATGTATATTGGTTCTATCTTCAAAACAAATATCCAGAGGAATGCATTTCAACTATGGTAAAACCTATGCCTCATAGAAAAAGAAGACATAAGAAAGTGATCTTTTACTTATTTGTTGCTCATATGCAGAAATATCAGATAAGCTTAACATGCATAGGTTTTACAGGGAAAGAGTGCATGTTTACTCATTGCAGACTAGGGAACAAAGATGGTACTGACCTAACAGAGCTATATAACTGAATAAGCATGTCTTCTTTTGCTTTCTCTACTTGGCAAAGAACAACAGCCTGCTTAAAAGAATGATGATTAAAAACGATATATAAGCATAAACAACCAAAAATGGTCATTAAAGAGAAAAAACTGACCTTTGGAACATTGGCAGCAAGGCTGTTAAGAACAGCTTCCACATAACCACGTACTTCTTGGGACATCCACCGAAGCTCTTCTTCAGGATCAGCAGGTCTTCTTGCCATTGTATCCTGCACAGAAAATGAGCATAATGTTGAAGATGCATGCTCGATAATC